ATTCACCCTTTATGTATTTACCTATCTTCCCTTTGGTGCACAATACCACATTAGCCCCCCTCCCCCTCTTCCTTTCTCATATCGACCGAGGTCAAGGTTATCTGCCTGAATAATGAGGCAAGAACCACCAGAAAAGCCCCTCAACACCATAAACCAGCCATAAACGTAACCTACCTCATCTCAGAACTGTAAAAGCACCCGTACACGTAACAGAACGTATTGACAAATTAAACGGATATACACAAAACCAAAATACAAGAAACCCAATACCCTACTCCGTTCCATGGAACCATCACCTTCTAGTCTTCTAGAATGCGCAATCCCCCATACAAACGACACGTGTGAACCAAGAAACTAGGGAAGATCCGCTGCCAACAATGCCATTGTCGCGCCAAAATAAGAAAATGGTCTGCAGATGGGACAAAAATAAAATTAAAAAAAAAGAATAAATAAATGGAAGGGGCGGCTAGAGAGAAAGAAGGAGGAGGAGGGCCAGCCAGACGAGGTCCCCGAGAGCAGTTATTACCCACATACAAATCTGCAATCACTGATCGACAGCATATAATCAAACTAACCACAGATTTGCACCGCCACTTGCGATCCCAATTGAGTGTTCAAGAGTCAAGACCCTGCCAACCGGGTAATTTCATTGCTTCAACCAGGGAAAGCAAGACACTGGATCCTCGCTTGTCATTTCCGTGTTCAGGGACTTGTGACGTTCTAGAAGACGTGTTATCCGTGGCTCGTACCATGGTTGAGGGGGTTTCTTTGATAATAGCTTTCTTTCTGCACGGGAGTCCCGGGCGTTCGGGTCTAAATCTACGCGTGGCTAATTTTTTTTTTTTGGCTTATCTCTGGATTTCTTTTTGGTGGGTTGAGATTATTCATGCAAAATTTCAAGTAAAATTACCAGGAAAGAAACAAGAAACATGGGTTGGTTTTACTTTGCCCCTCTCCCGAGTCGAGAAGAGAACGTAGACTTGAAGATCCTGACGCAATCCCCATCATCACAGGTCTCATTCGCTACCGAGGAAATTCTGCCTGAATACCCGCTTTCCAACCTGCCCTCGGGACATGCCATGACAGGCGACTCCAGTCGTCCACTTGGAACGTTGCGCACTATTGAATTCGGGGACTGGGGCGTTGGAGCACTTTGACGCGGGAATGGGGGGCGTTATCGGACATCCCGTAGTCTGTATGGGGCTTGCTTGGTCGATTTTCCCTGTGCTTGTAAGCATTTATAATCACGCGCACTTGGTTTAATTGCTTAATTTAAAAGCGTGCTATTTTTGGACAGTGCGTTCGGGAATTGGCTGGTTCGGTATTTGGCTGCTTCTTTTTTGGGTTCTTTTCTTCTTTTCTTCTGTCTATTGGAATTATAGTCTTGGTTTAATTTAATTTAACGTAGTTTGATTTATATTTTTGGGGGGTTTATTTTTATTCTTTGCGCCTTGGTTATTTCTGGAAATGAAATTGCATGAAGAAGGTGATGTTCGTAGGTCTTGCTGGGGCTTGTGTTTGTGGCTGGTTAGGAGCACTAGCCTTACCCGATTTGGCGAATTGTCATTTTGAAGAGATCTCGTCATGACTTCACTTTAACTTGGATTGGGGAGTGTGCAATCTGGTAATGAACAAGCCAGAACTTCCTGTTCAGCTATACTACCGCCAATATGTCCCTGCTATCGAATTGATATAATCGATCCCCTCCTTCCGCCACGTGTCCGGCTCCATGTAGCTTGTGACATTCGCATCGAAAACCAGATCGACCGGCTGCTCCGCCCCATACGCCTGCCAGCGAACCTCCCCGTCCTTGATGCCCGAATTCGGGTCCAAGTCGTGGATGAACGACGCCCACATGCTCGCCATCAGTGTGCTCAGCTGGCTGTACGACTCGGGCATCCCTGCGAACGGCTTCCCGTAATGATACCCAAGCCCCTCGATGTTGTTGAACACAAAGGCGACTTCCTCAAAGTGCGCAGCGCCGGACAGATATGGAACATCCGCCCCTCGCATGTTGAATCGGTAGCAGTAGGCGGGGGTTGTGGTTTCTGTCCAGGCTTCACATTGTCGTCGTCGGTTCGCGTGCATTGAGTAGTCCCCTGCGTAGGCCGATGTACGGCGCCACTGGTAGCCCTTCGAGGGTACCCGCTGGTCACCGAGGAACTCCGGGATTCCCTGTGATGGGTCGTCCGGGTAGAGATCGAGGATCTGGTTTGCCGTAGACGATGGGAGTTTGAAGCCGGATGTTCCGTCTGGTGATGTGGATGTTTTTTAGTACATATACATGTGACCAGGGAAAAGAGGCGAGAAGAAGTAATTCATAAACTAACCGGTGAGGTATGCGTAAAACTGCTCCGTGGTATTGATCCCCGTGGGACCAAAACTAGCCCCTTCGTCTGTATTCGTGCCTGCAAGAATGGGAACTTTGATGAATTCATGTTGGTCCAGCTGGACGCTTCCCCGGCCCCTCAGGAGATCCTGGTCAGCGACAGGCCAGAAGGAGTACACTGGGTTGCCATCAGTGCCGTTGAAAACGGCATTCAAGTCCTCGAATGGAGCCTCGCGCAAACATTGCAGCGTATTGGCGGCATTGGAACAACCAATCTTTGCCACCACTTCATCGTACATCGCCTGGTAGCCGGTGTCATTCATTGGACTGGCTGTTATGGATCCGCCTGATTCCATAATCGCTCCGCGAAAGAGACCGTCATCTCTGCCACCGTATGCGAGGAGATGAGCGCCAACGGACATTGCCCCTGCGGACTCTCCCCAGATCGTGATCTTCTCTGGATCGCCCCCGAAGGCCCGAATGTTTTCTTTGATCCACTGTAGCGCCAGTCTTTGGTCCCGGAGACCGAGGTTGGTGTTTCCGCTACTGGCGACTTCACTGGAGCTCAAGAAGCCCCACGCGGAGAGGCGATAGTTCAAGGTCACGGCGATGAACGGTTTGCCTTGCATGGATCAGTATCTATTCGACAACTCAACCAAAACGACCTACCAATCTTATACGAGTTTTCCACAATAGCAGACATGTTATACCGCTCATCTGACCCTGAACCCATATAGAATCCACCACCGTGGATCCAAACACCCACGGGAAGATCAGAGCCCTCACTCGCAGATGACCCTCGGACCACGTTCAAGGTAAGACAAGCTTCAGACATCGGATACCAGATTGAATCCGTCTATATCCCTAGTTAGCTTGCCAATCTTGAGGTCGGGAGCAGGCATATCAAGTCAATCATCACTTACGCCATATCCCACACAGATCTTGGAGTACTCTTTCGCATCGTGTACTCCATCCCAGCTTTCATTCAACGATTGGGGTACCGTAAACCGTAGGTCACCAATTGGCTGCTGCGCATATGGCATGCCTAGAAAAAAGTCCTGCTGGTAGTGGTCGTTCTTTACCCCGACATATGTCCCATTGAGGACATGAGCTGTTGGGCCTGGTATACCACTCGGAGCAGCATTTCCAGCGACCCACAGCGCAGAGAGACAGAATATTGTCTTGAGCATCTTGTGTGCCCTCAAATAAAAAAATCTACACGGCCGTGCCAACTCGCGCATCCTGCAACACCCACCCTGCGCTCTTTATATGGAAGGCCATCAGTTGCGGGGTATACAGCCCAATATGAAACTTCCCCTATGCTCTCGGGACTTGAGTCGGGACTTGAGCGATGAGGGACAAAGGGTCGAGGTCCGACTTCATCGTACAAGTGCATATTGTGGGGGTGGAGTTGATGACGCAGTGGGATCCGGAGTATTTGGGGTTATAGAGTTGCGGGGGTGAATTTTGGCATTCAATGAATGGACAACCGGTTAAAGAGAATTTCCCCTTGTAGAGAAGATTGTCGGCTCCCGAGTTGGTTGTGGAGGGACGACTCGTGGGGCTTCTGGTGTGGGATTGTTCATAGTGCACGCGGTTGAAGTTTGATTGATGAATGTCCCGAAGATTTGCCGGTCGCCCCAGAGGCCTCTTCTTGTTGGGTATAACGTGATAGACTAGGGAGCTAATTGCCCATCTTCCTTTTTCTTTCTCTCGGGCAGCTGGCTTGATGAGTTGCGTGCTTGAATATGTGGGGTTCACTTGAATAGGCTGTAGAGACGATGACATGTTACAAGCTGTATGTGGGATTGCCTGGAGTGTAAGTAGAAGGCTTCCCTGCACGTGAATGGCACATCCCTAGGGTTAACACATAGCCCAGGTAGCTTTCCTGAAACAGCATCTTCCAGATGGAACACTCATTGATATACCTTACTGAAATGGTTCGTATCCTATAATGTACCAGTAATCAACCATCTAGCCACGTTCTACACCCGCACAAGATAACATATGTTAGATGAGATAGTGTGTCACATGGAGAACCCCTGACCAGTATTGCTTTGTCGTACAGGATTCAATAGCTGGCGCCGTCCATTCTACAAAGGGTTCAAAAACAGAGGTTTCATTGAGCATCATGTTCGACTTCTGTTATAGATCCTCGTTTTCTGGGCATGCTTGTGGCACAACCGGCTAGCTAGCCTCCTTGGATCTACATGGGACCCTTATGTGGCCCTGACATGCATCGGCTGTGAGAGCTGCCCGGTGAAGCAGAGTCGTACTAGTCTTAGCATTGTAGCACCCCTGGACGGTCTGGCTTAAGGGCTTGCTTGAGAACCTGGTTCTTCACATAAGGGTGGCAATCGGTATCTTTGAGCAAGTGTCTATCCCAACTACCCCATGCTCCTTAGCACAGTATAAGTGCAAGAAGGCTCAAGTATAACTGCATTCGGTGATCTAAACTCCTTTCATTGCACCAAAAATTTGCTCCTGGACCGCGGTCGTCAAGCAGCACGCATCCAATCGAAGCACCTCTCAGCACCATCAACTTGAGAATCGCAGATCGACTATGCGATTGTCGGCTTTCCAAAGTCTCGAAAATCAAGAGAGCGAGAGGATACTATCATCGTGTATCTACCCTCGCGTCATATATTCGCTGTTCAGCCGTATCTGCAGAATGTGGTGGGCATTGTTATCACCTGAGCCTCTTCCTATGACTCCAGTCTCTCCATCGCCTCCATCACCTGAGGAAGAAGCCATCATCGCCGTCACGCACGGCTTCCTTGCGGCATTGAATGCGAAGTCGGCAGCCGATTTCGAGAAATACTGCATCCGAGCAGGAGGCATGTCACTTTGTCCACCGCCGCCCATGGTACCCCGTTTCTGTACAATTGGAGTCTTTGTGGAGCAAATTGTAAACGTGCAGGACGACATCGACGAGCGGATCTGGGACCCTGAGTTGAAAGTATACGAATCAGGTAATCTGGCCGCGGTGTGGGCACCGTTCAGATCTAAGATTAATGGCATTGTGAACCATGTGGGTATCGAACTTTTCGTGCTTCACAAACTCAACGGAGAATGGAAGGTAACTGGGTTAGCTGATTCATGTCGATGGCCAACTGAAGAAGAGAAATATTCGTTGCTATAAGCGATACATTTGTCCAATCCTGCCTGTTAATATGCATTGGAGCCTCGGATGAGGCTGTGAGGAATAAGATGGAAAGATAGTAATAGGGTTAGATGCAATGTGCACACGGTAAAAAAAAAAGAACTCTTAACCATGAAGGAGGATATCAGGAGAAACAATCCTATCTACTACCGGAATGAAAATTCCATGTCTATAGAGAGCCAAACTTTTTGCCATATTACTTCTTGCCTCTAAGAAGCTCCCATCCAACACTCCCGTTCTTTCCTTCTGTTACAGACATTTCCTCAACTGCCTTCACGAGATCGTAGCAAATTTCTTCTGAGACGACGCTATCGTGTTTATACGCAGGGTGCGAAGCGACATATTCACGGATCCACCGCGCTCCAGTCCAGAGAGTTCCGTTTGCCCGTTTCCGAATGAGATCGAGATAGGTTGCCAGAAAGCAGCGCGTTTCAACGTCCACATTGACACTGTTCAGGTACGATTCGACAAGCGGGATTAACCCGGGGAACGATCCATCAGCAGAACCGTTTATTATATCTGAGATAGTCATGAGCGCATATTCCGACTCTACTGGTTTAAGTGGAGGTGACGGGGGTGGCGTATTAACGGCGGATGACGTGGCAGACGACACTTCACTATTAGTAGAAGACTGTGGGTACGGTCTGCGTGCACGAGGAGAGAAGGGATCCTTGCGGAAGTAGAACTTTTGGTCCAAAACAGCATTTCGTGCATGTGCAGTTTCCATATTTTCGGTCGTGCGTTGGATAGGGATATAGAAGTTCAAGTCAAAACTCAGAATCGCGCGGGTGACAAGCACAATAAATATGCTGAATGCCGCATTTTCGAAGTCGGTCATTTGAATTTCCATTGAGCGGAACTCAACTCGCCAGCCAATATCGTCTTTCTCCGGTGGGGGTGGCTTGAAGCGCATGTGTTGCCAATTTGTCGATTGCAGATTCTCGAAATGGTCTGCCTTGTTTAGGTCCAACTCCTCCAGGTCTTCTGAAAAGATGACTAGTGGGTCGCGTATAAAAAGATGCGCGAAATGTGTGGCTAACAATTCATCCATACCACCTTCAATCAAGCGCTTCTTGATATCTTCGTCCACGATCAAATCAGGATCCAAGTACTCCTTCCGCAGCCTAGGGTCCTGGGAAAGATAAGTCGAGTTTGATGCGTATCTAGATTTGGGAATTCTCCACCGATCATTCTTCAAAGGCTAGTTGGGATGTTAGCTCGGGACCGGCAATCAATAGAGGGATAACTCACAGCTTCACCAAGTTCTTCACGTGTCCTGTCATCTACAGCATTACCGATCTGGTTCCACCGAACGTCGGTGTCGACAAGGAAGCCCTTGTATATGGGGGTTGCGGCCGTAAGTGCAAGAAGGATGGGTCCCAACGGACTCAGTTGGTCGTATAACTTTCTCCCTTCCGTCATATTCTTTGCCTGGAAGGTGATCTGAAGACAACAACTGCCCATGCCAAACGCCATGGCGTCCATATAAACATGCCCTTCCTTAGCGGCTCCATTTCTGACATCATCGTCTTCAGGCCAGTTGTGGAGGTCATAGTTCACCGTTGGGTCATTGAAAGGTTCAGGGGTATTTGTATCTTTGTAAACCGGTACATTCAGCTCGACCTTTCGACCCCGTCTCGATCTGATATTACCGGCTAGCGTTGGAAACCTAATGTGGGGATTGGCGATCTCATCAGGAACGAACTGGGATCGGAGTGCGGCTCCAGATGGAGGATAGTATGGTTGAATGTAGTCGTCTTTCGTACCCAAGCGGGGGAATGTGGTAAGAGTAATAGGATATTCATTTGGTGCCATGTGAGATTTGGCAACCTCTCGTCTAAGGCCATATTAGGCTCAGCTAGTAATTTTCGGACGGATAAACGTACCTCCACTTCATGTTTGACTCTACCTTCAAAAGGTCTTTGAAATCAATCCCCCATGGCCGCCCCGGAGTAGCCTCCAGCATGAAGCGACCGAATTCCGGGTGGAAATGAGGGGGATCCTCTCCATCACTAGGCGTCATCAGAAAAGTTCCTCGGAGTTGATATAGAAGACCAGTTTGCCTTACTGTTCCTTGTTCTGTATACTATTTGACCCTTCAGACTTCCAGTTGGCTTCATCCTCAGCCAGGGACTTGAGAATCTCGGCCTGAGCGAGAGATAACCGTGCCTTTTTCGCCTCGTCGTCAACGGCAACCACAAGGTACTCGACCTGAGTAATGATGGATTAGTTAGCTTTGAGCTTTACAGTCTTTTTTACATTGGAATCTCACCTCATCGCCCCAAAGAAGAGCATCGCGCTCTTTCCCTTTCGCTCGGCGCCAATTGGCGAGCAATTGCTAATGCGCGTTAGGTGAACGCCCGTTCATGTATCGCTAGATAGTAGAAATAGAAGGAAATGACGTACCTCAATACCCCATTTTCGCACCTGATCCGCTCGCTTCTTCGCCTCGGGCCAATCGAGGGCAGTTCCTAGTGCTCTATAAGAACATTGGATGTTAGCCCGGGGTAAGCCGCACGATTATGTCTGGTAGGAGTCGCGACGTACAGCAAACCCATAATGTCATAACCACGTCCGAGGAACCAGCGTGTAAGAATTCAATTATAAGAGAGTCTTCCGTAATACGACAAAACCCTGGATCACACGATCTGCAAGCCCCGCGGAGGTGAGGGGAAGTTCTGGTGGCAGAAGATGCGCCAGAGTCCGGTTGTTGGAAGCAATCGGCCGAATGAAATTATACAATGCCAGATAGAACTGACACCTCAGAGTACTATACGTACAACATGAAGAACCGTAGAGACAGACGATGGAAGGAAAGGGGAAAAAGTCATAGTCGGATTGGTATTGTCGCCTTTATGCTGATTTTCCCGGCGGCGTCTCGGAGACGGTGATTGTTGTCGGTGATTGGGTAAAGCAGTGAACTTTTGCCAATAGTGGGGGGCATCTTTTGGTCCCCAAGCGGGGCATTAAGTGCCATTAACGCTGATAACGCCGTTAACGCTGCGGAATTCACGAGAAGCCGATGCATTGATTTCTAAGCAGCTTCCTTAACTGGATGGTCATGTGATTCCATCGAATAGATCACTGACATTCTCTATAAAAATACAGCAAGGCAAACAAAGTTCATGAACTTTCTTAAGGCAACCGGGCAACCGAGACTATAAAATATACCTCACATCAAACTGATCGTCGAGGCAAGACGTAGCATCATCTAGTTCGCGACCCACAAACACCAAGGAACCAAGCAATCCACTTGATAATAGGTAGGTAGACTTAAGCTACAAGTGCCGGATGTGGATATACCAAGGACCAGCATGACATGGCGCTTGGCTGAATAACCATGTTGACGAGTTACTCTTACTCATGATCCATACCTCAAAAATCACTGCCATTTACGGCTAGTAGCTGACAATTGTAAGAATAGTTCCTCTGGGAAGGAGATGAAAATTGGAATGATATAACCAGCAGCGATTACCACCTATAGGCAGTAATACAACCCCAATTCGGTAAGGCTGGGCCAGCGGACAAACCCAAATACTCCGCTTGCGCAGTCCCGAGGCTATTCCATGCATAGAAATCTTTCGGGGGATGGAAGCACTGGGTCCGTATCACACCGAGAGATGATCGTTTCATGTACTACAGACAAGGTACTAGCCTTGTGAGTCCGAGACACAAAGGGATGGTATCGGCAAGCTTATTCTCAATCCGAACGCCAAAGTCGGTGCATGATCAATCAATCTCAGAACTTTATGTACATAACCTGCTGCTTCGTCCATATCAAATGCATAAGCCGATCTGTTTGGTATCAATTGCTGCGGGCACCGTTCTTAGCAGCTCGCAGCTCGTCCATCTTGGCAACACGCTTCTTGAATTCTTCATACTGGCACTTCTCGTAGCTGTGTCTCTCATCCTAGAGTAGAAATTGGATATTAGCTATATAGATCAAATCTTAAAGCATGGATATGTACGCAGGAGCATTATGCGGAGACGGAATGCAATGACATACCTCGCACTTCCAAGGAAGGTAGTACTCCTGCTGCCGGCATCGGTTCAATGGGATGAGGAGGTGCCCACAAGAGTCGCGGTACTGAATAGGCAGACGAGCATCGGACATCTCCTGGCGGGTGGCTAAAATGGAACGTCAATGCTCGGCTCAGTCAATGAGACTATATTGATCTTGCTCTTGAGCGCGGAGGCCAATGGCATTGAAAACGTACCGGGAGTATCCGCCAGTCCAACGGCACTCTTAACCGACTCGGCAACGGTCATTTTGGTATGAGAAAGCGTCGTGGGATAGGGTCCTTCTGAAGATAGGCGGCGGAGCAGCGAGGTTTGCAGCTATCCCGAAGTGCTGTTCCTTCCGGATACAGTCAGGTGATATCACGTGAATTCTATGCCGCAACGGGAATAGTGGTCCCGATTCCACTTTACGCGGTTCTGCCGACCGGAGCGCGTCTTGTTGAGCAATCCACCGCGTTTTTGGGATGTTACTGTGCGCAGGACGAGCCACCAGTGGCTGATACGGTATCTTTGTGACTTCAATATACGCTATATGTGATGTACCGAACTCAAAGCCTGTGTATTATACTTTACGCCTGAGAGAAGGTGAATTCGGACCATTGAATTCCCTGTGAAAAGTGACCGCGTCGCATCTTCCTTCAATTGTCCGGGGACCACCTAGATTACACCGGCTTTCGGAGACGCACATCATGGCGGGAGTGGATTTTTCAAAAATTTACTCTGCGACGTATAGCAGTGTGAGCTTCCTCCTTCTTTCTGTGCCTTCGCTCTTTTTATCGATTCACTTTTGTGGAAACCCTTGACCGCTTAGATGATGTGTCTAATATCTCCGATCAGGTTCCGGTCTACGAGTTCAAACTCGATAACGACAGTGTTATGCGAAGACGGGCTGATGATTGGATCAATGCTACACATATCCTCAAAGTCGCTGGGTTTGACAAGCCAGCGCGGACACGTATTCTCGAACGTGAGGTGCAGAAAGGGGTTCACGAAAAAGTACAAGGTGGTTATGGTAAATATCAAGGTAGTGAAAGTCCATTTTGATACAACGCTCATGGTGGTCGCCGTGCTAAAGCTCGAAATAGGGACATGGATTCCACTTCCTGAAGGCCGGATGCTCGCTGAACGCAATAATATCATTGATAAGCTAAGGCCAATTTTCGACTACGTGGCTGGGGATCGCAGTCCACCACCTGCTCCGAAACATACATCGGCCGCGTCAAAACCAAGGGCTCAGAAAAATGCGGCCGCTAACAAGAGGGTTGTACATGAGGAGGTTTTCAGTGCGGTTAAGCCGCATCGCAGCATGGCACCACCCAGTTTCACTCATGAGCAATATGAGATGAATCCCGGGTTCGATGAAGACGAATCGATTGAACAAGCAACCCTCGAATCTTCTTCCATGGTTGCAGATGAGGAGATGATGCATATCACCCAAAATGGCAACTATTCGCGAAAGCGCAAACGTGGCATGAATGAGGTAACCGCGATGTCAATAAGCGAACAGGAGCATATACTGTACGGCGACCAGCTCTTGGACTACTTCATGACAGTAGGAGATGCTCCAGAAGCAACGCGAATTCCTCCACCAGAACCACCAGCCAATTTTCAAGTGGACCGTTCAATAGATGATTCAGGGAACACTGCTCTCCATTGGGCTTGTGCGATGGGCGATCTGGAAATAGTGAAAGACCTGCTGCGGAGGGGAGCAGATGTGAAGACACTCTCAGTACATGAAGAAACGCCGCTTGTACGTGCTGTTCTATTTACAAACAATTATGAAAAGAGGACATTCCCGCCGCTCCTGGATTTACTCCTGGACACAGTGTCGTTCCGAGACTGGTTCGGCGCCACCATATTCCATCACATAGCAGAAACCACTAGAAGCAAAGGGAAATGGAAGAGCTCTCGGTACTATTGCGAGGTGCTGCTCGACAAATTACGTGTTACTTGTGCGCCAGAGGAAATCGATGTTTTGTTATCTTGCCAAGACTCCAATGGAGACACAGCTGCTTTGGTGGCTGCTCGAAATGGTGCATTTCGCTTGGTTCACTTGCTCCTCACGCACTGCTCGCGGGCTGGAGACTTAGTAAATAAGAAGGGCGAGACGGCTGCCAGTATCACTCAGCGAGCGAATCAGTCGGACCGACATATCCCGCCGCCGCCTTCCTCTATCACGATGGGCAATGACCACATTGATGGGGAAGTTGCTGGCCCGATGAACGCCGATCAATCCGTTGCGCCACCGCAAGATTCCTCCCCCTCCACTTCTGCACTCCTCGCCAAGATTGGGGTAATAATGGCCGAAGCGAATAAGAAACTTGCAGTTGGGTACGGAAGCTCAAAGGCTAATCAGCCGGATCCAGATGACGTTGCCAATCCAGAGGCACTATACGAACAGCTAGAGTTGGATCGGCAGAAGATTCAACAACAAACAGCCGACCTGGCGGCGAAGGAAACCAAAGAAGAGCGCATCGATGCGCAGTTCGAGCGTTACGAACAGTTGAGGGGTCGCTACGAATCGCTACTGGAACAGATTCAACAAGCCCGCTTAAAGGAGCGGATCGCATCGTCAACGTTACCCACTAACGAGGACCCGAACCCACCCTCGACTGACCAGAACAAGTTGCTTACCGTCTATCAGTTAGCTCGACGGCTGTGTTCGGCACAAAAAGCACGGCGTGCCGCCGTCAGAGATCTCGCCCAACAAACGGCAGATGCAGGTGTTAGCACTAAGTTTGATGTTCATCGGAAGCTCGTGTCACTCGCTACGGGACTGAAAGAAGAGGAACTAGATCCCATGGCTGCTGAACTGGTAGAGACTTTGGAATTTGACCGAATGAACGGAAAAGGTGCAGGGGGCGAGTCCCCCGAGCCAGAGCCCCAGGGGTCAGCGACTTTTCCTCTAGCTGGACCTCCAGTGTCTGTTGATGCTTAGAACGTACAGGATTATTTCTAATGCTCCGCATTCAGCTCGATTTGTTTGTGAGCGTATCGGTTTCTGTATTACTGTATCTACCAAGGACTGGATATGATGCTTCACGCAATTTCTAATTCTGCAGAGAATCACGTTTCTCCCATACCTCTGCGATGTGTTATTTTTACCTACATGGACATGCCGTTCTTTACGATTTCGTTTCTTTCTTTTTGTCTTTTAACATAATTAGCTTCTGGTGGGGACTGAGGAATATTGTCCTACCAGCAGATACCCAATTGTTCTTTTCTTTGGAGGCATCCGATGTGTTTCTTGAGTTTGTCAGGACTATCAGTGTGCTTACTGTTCTGACATGGCGCGGTGACAGATCAGAAACTACTATAGTTACAGGAAGAATTTAGCTGGCGTTGAGGGTTTACAGCATGAATAGATGGTGTACATACAGGCATACATAAAACCCAATGTTATGGTATCATTATGTACAAGCGATAGTGGAGTATGGGACATGCATTGGACTAGTACAACCCCACTTCTAGAATTGTCTGGTGACTTGAACCAAAATCAACCATCAATAGCTCGGTATCCAAATACATCGGTCAAAGACATACTGATGAGCATGGCATTTCTTCCATGCATGCCTAGGTGCATGAGCACAGATACTCTCAAGTTACCTCCATCCAATTCTCCCAAACCAATTGGTTCGATCTCACATTGCAGTGGTCCATGGATAGCGCAATACCAAACCGAACTGGTGGTAGGGGAGAGAACCAGGCCAGTCAGGGGCAAGGAGAAGAGGGGAATCGGTCTGCAATGGAAGCGGTTGGCTGGCGGCGAGGGAGGCCACGTTGGATGGCACTAAGCGGGGATGATCCCAGGGATGAGTGGGTAAGGAGCTTGGGGATGAACCAATGGGGGTTGGGGCATGGGGTGCATATTGGCGTCACTGTCAGGCTGCAGAGGCGATTCTGGGGGCGGATTGGCTAGTCATAGCGGCTGATGCGCTGTCTGTGTTCCATGATAACTTAGTACTCAGTACCTAAGGAGTGGATTTATGGGCAATGAGATTAATTAAACCAGGGACTGCACTAGAGAACTTGGTAGGTATGAGATGTTCTTGGTTAATCTTTGATCAGTTTTGATCTACCTCACTAACCTACTAGTATCTACCGTTCCATACTTTGCAGTACAATTCAATACTACCTCAAAGTAGTAAGGCTACGGTATATCTCACACACATTAAGGTCCCGGCCTCTAAATAATGAAAGCCACCATGGGGCTAGATGGAGAACCTGAGGACCATCACAATTTCCCCCGATCTATTGGCTACTATTTCAGGCACCTCCTCAGAACGGCTAACCGCAAATGAGATCACCCAACAATGGCTATCAAGAAATCATCCACTCTGAGAATCACCAGTTCCCCATGGCTAACCCTGTTCAGGACTAGTCGTTCTTCAAGCGAACCAGTCAGAATGGAAGTGTCTGAAGTGGCCAACCAGTCAGTGTCTCAGGGCCTCCGATCATGATGCTGATTTTACAGGTCTTGTATTATTAGCACCTTAATTCTTCTGCGTCTGACAGTATTAGAAAGTATTAGTAGCAAAAACACAATAGGAGGATAGTTTCCTCTGTTTCTCTCTCTCTATCTCTCGCTTCTTTTCTTCTTCCTCACCCACTCTTTCTTTTCCTCCCCCTCCTGTTCCTTCTCTCAACTGGCGCTTTCTTCCATCCTCTCCAGTCCCATCTTCACTTCTTCTCCTCCCCCTTTTTGTGTTGCTTCAACCTAATTTCTCTTATCCTCGTTGTCTTCTTTTCCACCTGCAGTCCTTTTCATTTCTTTACGGGATTGTTAGCTTATCAATCCGGAAAGGTTTTATTTAATCCACAGAAAGTGAATTGGAACTTGTTTGAGGCCCTTTTGGCTTGACTATTGACGGCCAAAGCGGGTAGACGAAGGGAAAAGCGCGAAGAAAAAAAAAAAGAAAAAGAAAAAAAAGGCGACCCAACGCGCGCCAACAGCCGAACGGACCAATTCCTCAATACACTATCCTATCATCACCGACTCGCTTCTTTTCTCTCTTCTTTCCCTCTCTACGATTCACGGGATACTTTGGAGGAAACAAAAAAAAAGGCTAAAAACGCCAAAGAAAAATAGAAATAAAAAAGAAAGTCAGAGCAAGAAAGAGAGAGAATAAATAAAAGTCCATTCGACGATCCCTTACTTCATCACTTGAGCGGCTCTATTCTCGTTTTCCGTTGTTTGTTCTCAACGGTCAATCTTCGAGTCTCTCCTCCTTTCCCATTTTTCGTGTTCAAGCATCCTTTCGGTCGGGAGTTGCAGAGCATCTCCCACCCATTTTTATCATCGTCT